AAGCCATATTTAGCCGGAAAAGCAAATGGGGCGCGTTTCACCGCTGAACCGGCACTCGTCGAACTGGAACGTCTTAGGGCTATTGCTTGAGTGATGTTCCATCTGCGGACCAAAGTCAACGATACTTCCTAACAATGACCTGTCCCCTGAGAATAAGGCGTGTTTCGTTTGCAGCTACGCCTTGCGAGCGTGATAATGCCATTCAATATGATTATAATTCGGTTGCTGGGCCGTGTACATAAAATGAGAAGCGGTTTACAACATTCCTAGAACAGAGGCAAGGATAAGACTTCTGGGCTACTATATAGACTAGATATACTAGAGGGCGCCGGATCTGCCTTTGACAATGGTATTGGATCATAGATCTGGATTCCTAACTCTGTCCGAGCACCATGTTCACTGTTTGATCCTCTCACTGGCCTACGTCTAGGTTTCTGGTCCATGTCCTCAACACACCTGAGGTCGAGGAGAACGCAGAAAGAAGGATCGACCTTTGTGTCGAAGCACATCACCGCGACTTCACTACGGATCAGGTCTTTTCTCGGGTGTAATGAGAGAGCAGAAAGCCAAGGTCCGCCTCCATCCACGAATGGCGAGTCAACCAGAGCACGGAGGAGCGCATTATGCATGACAATTTATTGACCATGCCATGGCTCCAGAAAGTAGCAACATTGAAATGAGGAACTTATCAGAATTGGGTTGTCGACAGACGGCGGCCAGTCACTATAAGAAATCACGAGCTCTTTAGACTGACAGCCGTGAACGGTCCTCATGCAAGTTGTGAAATTTCCGCATGGCATGGTTTTGTTTCACATAGTTCACGGTACTACAAAGTTGAGCGATCAATGCGACGAGGAATCGTGCAGTTGTCCGGTTCCTCCTAGCATGACGAGAAGTTGTTGCAGTCAAGCACCTCATCAGTATACGATGTCTTGCTGTGCTGCTCTGGAGAGAGTGGTCCAGCTTTACCAATTCAATGAGCCTACCAAACAGAAGGATAAACCTTTCCTGCGCCACGGAAAGCCCTAGGTACCAATTCATAGAGACAAGCACAATCCATGGAACCGTAGAAACCTCCCACCACGTCCAAAGCACACTTGTCGGCCTACTTCACGGCACGGTAGCAACCTTGGACTTGGGCTCCCTTTGCTTGATAGCCGCCTCCACCCATCCCGCAGAGTCTTTAAGTGCCTTCCGTGGAGTCTTCTTGCGCTTTAGCAGGAAACCATGGATTTCTGCGGGCGAGAACATGCCCTCCGGAATGGGCTGGCCGAACTCCTGTAAAAACTGCCTCAAGTTCCTCAATTGATATAGTAGCCTCTGTAGCGTTGCTATCCACGAGACTGTGAACACTGCCATTTGGCGCCTTAGGCGCTGCTGGTCTAGTCTTGGTCATAGGAACTGGTTTATTTTCGTGAGACCTTGTACGTTCGGTAAACTGCTCTGCTGCTTGCTCGTTTGTCGCATTTTTAAATGCAACTTGTATCTTGGGATGCCTTAACCGCGGGAAATCCCACGACTTGGCAAATGTTATGAAGCATTCCATTACTGCCTTTTGTTTTGAACGAGTTGGAAAAGACGGTAAAACTGGCCATCGATAATTTTCGCAGCTGATGTTAGACCTTATATTTTCCTGATCCGAGTCCGAGTCTGCCCACTTGCGAGGCTGGAAATGGAGGCAGCGGAGACTGCATCAATAGCTACCCTCGAGTATGACATATGATGTTGAACTCCAGAGTAGTTAGCCTTTGTCGTTGCTTACCAAAGGAGCGGTCATTTAAATCTGGCCCCTGTACAACAAGCCATCTGGGCGACTCTCTTGGCTCCACGGACTGAACTACCGTTCGTCGATTGGTGGAAAGTGCTTCAGAAATTCTTGGTAGACTACTTCTCCCATGTCTGTAGCATATGGTGCCTTCTTCGATACTATAAATGAAGGCAATGCCTGGGACAAGCTGGACTACTTGATGCGTTAATTAAAAAGACATAGCCAGAGGAGCGACCGCCAAATCGTGCGAGGGACAAATACGGGCGGTGAGACAACTACGATAGCCCGTAGAGCATTAATCAGCCGAGACAATCTACGGTCAGGGAAGGCAACGGAAGTATGGGCGGGGGTGCATCTCGTGTTGTCGACGACAGAAGCGGAAAAGGAGCACATTGCTCCGGTTCATCCTCATTATGAATGACTGTAGAGATCCTCGCTCGGCCACGCATGAGGCACGGAAGCCTTCCAAGGAAAAATACTAGACGCTAATGGCTTCCAAGGGCATTAACTCATTTTCAGAATATATAAACGGCCTGTATGCAGTCCTATCTCTTCTGGCCTGTGCCAATTAAGTACATAAGCTAGCGATTTTCATTTAGGCAGATTTTCATAGAACGTTGTGTAAGTGTTGGTTACGGTGGCTGGTGACGGCGAGCTTGAACCATCAGACATCTCTATCACTGTTATTGCTGTCGGATGTGAGTGAGGTGAGGGGCTTGATGGCTTTCGTCATAGACGTAGTGTCACAATCGTCCAGCTCATCCAGGACACAAGCAAGTCTTTCGGGCTTCGTCCCCGGCGCGGGATACGATGGCCGTAAAGATATTGCATAGCTTATCAAGAAGCTCGCCACTTTCTCTCAAGTACTTGTTGGCTAAGCTCTGGGTCGGATGGCAGGAGCTGGTGGATAAGGGTGACGAAGAGCGCCGCCCCGTCGATCTGATCTTCTCTACTCCAGTCAAGAAATAGGTTGTTAGATAATCAGTTACGTGCAAGGATAGATGTTGGTTGATGCTGTCAATCGAAAAAGTAGCCAGGGTCGTTGGATATCCAGAGGAGGGATGGTGACTGACTCTCAAGCCACTGGACATATTCGGGCACTTCAAGGAACCACGGTGACAGCATGTTATGCATGCAAATATTTAATCCCTCTTGGATAATCAGCTCTAAGTATCCACCCTCCATTCCCAGACGCTACCGATGGCCTACATCCACGCGCATGGCATGAGATGGCGGAAACTCTGACGTGAATGACTACAAATAGTTATGCGGGTTGAGCGGTGATGTGGAAGGATGCATTGTATATGTCTGCTGCTCGGTCAGTCAAGGCACGTCTGCGATCTCTGCACCGCTGAACTTACTGCTACTATGCACATATTATATTTGTCGCTCTACGGCGTAGGAAAAGCCCCGATTCCGTTTCGGTGGGGCTGTATCATGCTTCGTACGCCACATCGACGGTTATATTCCTGTTGGGGACTTGTTGGACCGCGACAGGATCACCAAATCCAGCTCTTGATTGCAATTGCACTGGACGCGACAGAACCATCAGCCAGGCACCGCACCAGGCTGAACAGTCGCATCCCAGCTCTTGACGCTCTTCTCTTCCCCTACGGCATCCATCTCATTACGCTTGCGCTTCTCTCCACGCGGCGACTCTTCGAGAGCGCGGGTCTTTAGACCAGCGAGTAATTGTCCCGCCACCCGTTCCGAGAAGCTATCGTGTGGTTTGAATGGGACCTGGACGTGCTGTATCGCTGGCCAGACGAGGCCATCAATATCGTCGAGTGGGTTGTCGAGTGCGTGGAGGAGTTTGGAGGGGATATTGGCGCGGAAGACATGTGCGTTCATTTGGTCGGAGGCGTTTGTTACTAGCAATCGGACCTGCAGAATTGACTGTCAGTGGGACAACGAACAAGAGAATGTGGTTTGGCGTACGAAGAAGGCTTCTGGCATCGTCTTTCGACGGCGCCACTGTAGTTGAGCCAGAGACAGCAGAATGCAGACCAAGTATGGGTCCTCAAACCATAACGCAGGAGTCAAGTTTCGCAATTGGCGCTGGTAGATTCTCTCACCAGGAACATTGGAGGCGCCCTTCACGGGGTGACGCTTAGGCTTGAGGACCCGTCGTCGCTGCTCGACGAGATTCTCGTACAGAAAGTGGCCGACAATCGGCCGCTGCTGGAGATTGTGTGCGTTGTCTATCTTGAAGGTTTTACATTCTGGCGTATCGGCTCTGAGCTTGTTGTAGAAGAAGTAGGGTCGAGCGTTGCCGTCAATCACGCCATGAGGTTGGATCAGCAAGGCAAAGCCGGCGAACTTGGCAGAGGCGAATCGACCGTTGAGAAGCTGTTTCATGTAATGCTCTGTGTCATCTGGCTTGGTGTCGCTGCTGGGCGAGAGCGGTGGTGATGGTGGGAGGGAGGGAGGGAGGGCGGTTGAGTCGAGGTGCTGGAAATGGCAGCGAAGCACTTGGAGGTGCTCGGAAGTCCAGAATAAAGGTTGAACTAGGAATCGCGGGTTCTCGACGCACAGTCTATGTAGAGACTTTGTTATCGGCGTCATGTCGGCCATTGCCCGCGCATCGCAGAAAGTGTAGAATGAGAATGAGTGTTGTTGCAATGATGATTTAATTCTTTGGCACACGCGACTGAATGACGCGATACGATTTTAGCGGAGGCGGGAACGGAAATATGTCTCTCCGCTGAGGCACGAGGATTCGGGTGTTGAGACAGTATGGCTAAGGTGGTCCGATCTGCTGGTGGCTAGGATATAGATACTATATAAGGAGCTGTGCTCCTCTCAGACATATGTAACTTAGAACTAACAATAACAACAATCAACCCTTTTACTTCAACA